CATTTATTCTCCACAAGAGATATTATTCTCAAAAATACCTTTAAGGTTAAGAAAACATATTATGAAAAATATTAAGAGACTGGAATCACTATGTATATTTTTTTTAACAATCTTCAGTTTTAAACAGTATCAATTGATTGGCTGCTATGAAAGGTAAGGAAATTAACACCCTTTCGCTTCCTATCATTCCCCACCCCCCACTTCCCGAATATTATGAGTAACACTGTTTTCTTTTCTTATTTTTGTCTCATAATGTGAGTCATTGTCAGTACACTTGATCAGGATTAAATGGTGCATGTAATGGAGAAATGTGATGACATGGATCTACATTACAGACAACAAAAATAACCAAATAAGAGAAAAATCAACTTTTTATTTGCCTACATAAAGGCAAAAATAATTTCAGCTATTTATGTGAACCACTGGCCTTGTGGGCCTAATTACTATGTATCACAAGTGTAATTATATATGATTATCTTCAATTGTCAGATTTTTAAAATAATAATAAAATTAAATGAGCAGTCAGGATTAGCTCTTCTGCAGCACTTCGACTTTGCCTGGAGGCATCCCCATCTGAGCTCAGAAGAAACTTGCCCTGTTTAAGAGCAGAGCCAGAGTTGATAATAACAACAATCTCTAACATTACTCAGCACTTAGCAGCTGCCAAGTGCAGGGTTATGAACTTCACACAACCTTTAATCTCCCAACATTCCAGTGAGGGTCATGCTATATTCTTAATTTTAAAAGTGAGGAAACTGAGGCAGAGTGGTTAAGTAATGCTCAAGATCCCAGAACTAGTAAGTAGGAGACCCTAGATTCAAATGCTCTTCAGGGCAAAGAGCAGAGTTTGAATATGAGAACTTCCATAGTCGCAATAACTCACTAGTTCTGTGGCCTTGGGCTAATCACTCATCCTCTCTAGGCTGTGTGTGTGTGTGTAAGTCATTTCAATCTTGTCCGACTCTTTGCAACCCGATGGACCACCAGGAACAACCCAAAGCCCACCACGCTTCTCTGTCCATGGGGTTCACCAGGCAAGAATACTGGAGAGGGTAGCCATCCCCTTCTCCAGGGGATCTTCCCAACCCAGAGATCAAATCCACTCTCTCATGGCTCCTGCATTATGTCTTGTATAAAGTAGGGATTAATAAGGACTTTTTTCCCCAAAGGAAATCAGTCCTGAATAGTCACTGGAAGGACTGATGCTAAAGCTGAAGCACCAATACTTTGGCCACCTGATGCAAAGAACTGATTCATTGGAAAAGACCCTGATGCTGGGAAAGATTGAAGGCAGGAGAAGAAGAGGACGACAAAGGATGAGATGGTTGAATGGCATCGCCAACTCAATAGACATGAGTTTGAGCAAGCTCCAGGAGTTGGTGATGGACAGGGAAGCCTGGCGTGCTGCAGTCCACGGGGTCACAATGAGTTGGACATGACTGAGCAATTGAACTGAACTGAATAAGGACTTCCCTGCCTGTCACCCAAGGCTTCAGTGGAGATCAAGTAAGCAGCGCCTGGAAAACAGCTTCATGAAGCACTGTTACCAGCTTCCTCCCCCAAAGAACTCAGCGTGGCACGTAGCCGGCGGCCTTGGTCAAAGCTCAGGCGGGAATCAGCCTCTGCTGATGAGAAAAACATTACCCTGAGGCCACAAAAACAAAACCATCCTCCTGCCAGAAGACAGTTAAATGGGGTAGACAAGAAGTTCCGATGGCCGTGAACACTTTACAAAGTTCATGTTCAGGGTGAATTCCAGCAGGACGCTATTTGTTCAGTGGGTTCATTGTCCAACCACTACTTGACAGAAGACCACATTGCATGGAGAGAATGTCAAGAGGGCCCCTGGCTATGATCTCCACTCCCTGGGCCAGTCTTTATCCTTGAGCTCCAAGCATTTATCCTCCCCTGGAGCAGACACGCTTGTTCTGACCGAGCCATCAACCTGCCTCTCCAGATGTGATGCCTGAACGGTAAGGGCCAAAGAAAAGCCCTTTCAAAGCTTCAGTCTGCACAGAGAGAGAGGCCACCAGGCCAGTTTTCTGAGCCACGGAGGCCCTGGGAGGCAGGAGAGCTGACTTCTGGCCCTGACTCAAAACCACGACCTTGGGCAAGTCCCTTCTCCCCCCAGGGGTTTTGTTTTTCTGTCTATAATATGAGGATGCTTTCCCAGGGCCCTTCTAACTCTGCCCTCCCTCTGGCTCTTCTGGGGAGAGGTGAAGTACGTATATGACTGACTGTGATTTATCTGGCATATTTCCAGAGAGAGAGGAATTAAGCAAGAATCTGGAGACGACAGATTATGATAAACTACAGTTTAAGAACTCTGGCTGACAGTGTAAAGTCATCAAGCCACAGCAGTTGGTCTCTAGGGCAGAGGAAAAGAGAACTGCTAAGGAGCATCTGGGGACAAAGGTCTTTAACAAATGGTCACTGGTATCCTGTATTATATATTATCTGCAAAGTACAAGGAGAGAGGGAGGTAAAGAGCTACAGAAGCATCCAAGATGAATTGAGACAGGGTATCTGCCCTTGTAGGGATTATAATTAGGTTAAGAGACAAGCTGTGGACTGAGCCAAGGGGGAATGAGGGGATGTGGAGCCCCTCTTAGAGCCTGTGTTAGGTGTGGCGTGGTCAAAGGTGTGAGTTCTCCCTGATGCTGGATAGGAAAGCTGGCTAGGCAAAGGAGACTCTTAAATACCATCCAAAGGGCCTGAAAATCAGATGGCATCCCAGTTTCACAACTCACAGTCAAGTCCTATATCTCTAAAAGACTTCTGCTTCTCAGCGTGCAAACTGCAGGAGCCTCAGCTCCTCTCCCAACTCCCAAACCCATTTCCAGACCCATCACTTACTGTTCAGGACCATGGCTCCTCTCTGAGAGTCAGGTCAGGACCCCACCTCCCAGGGAGCCTGCGGGATCTGAAGAGGGTCTGGATTCTCCTGCCAATCATCAGGACCTGTGTGTTTCTTCCATGGTGGCTTTAGGTCTGCTGCAGGTCAGGTCTAACATGTAGCCCAGACACACAGAAACAAGATCAGCTCATCCGGAGTTCAGCCCTGGAGTGACGACTACAGTGCTGTGGGGCCACACTTGCAGGCTCCTTCCTACGCGAACCTGAAAGGCCTCTGTGGCCCAGGACTTTGTAAAGGTGGCAAAGAATCATCTGTAAGACCCAAGCCCATCCTATGTGACCAAACAGGTGCTAATGTTTACTAATTTTATGTATATATATATATATATATTTACACACATAAGTATATAGAACATAATTGACATTATATAATGTAATATAAGTTACACAATTGTTGTTCAGTCACCCAGTCATGTCCGACTCTTTGTGACCACATAGACTGCAGCACACCAGGTCTCTCTATCTCTCACACTATTACACAATAACAACTGTAATTATATAATAGTTACACAAAATTATACTATTATGTATTACATATTATGTAATATTACATAATTTTATGTAATATATGTAATACATATATGTATTATACCTATATATAATATGTGTAATATATGTCTATTATATGTGTGTGTACATTACATACATGTGTTACATGTATGTGTGATATATATAATAGATAATGTTACATAATTAAATATTACGTAGTATGTAAAATATAATTTTGTATAATTCTTGTATAACTATTATTGTATATAATAATACATATACACACACATGTATATGTATTTGGGTTGGTGAAAAAGTTCCTTTGGTTTTTAAGTAAAAATAAAAGACACATTTTTTCATTTTCACCAAGAACTTTAGTTAACAATGTATTCACTGTTTTGCTCATTACCTTCTGCCATTTTTCAGGCAACTTCATAATTCCATCTTCCCAAAACTTTTTATTTTTTTGAGCAAAGAACTGTTGCAGGTACCTTTTACACTCTTCCAGGGAATTGAATTTTTTTCCATTAAGAGAATTTTGTAAAGACTGAAAGAAATGAAAATCTGAAGGTACAATGTCTGGTGAACATGGTGGATGAATCAGAACTTCACTGCCAGCCTGTAACAGTTTTTGCCTGGTCATCAAAGAAACACGTGGTCTTGCATTATACTGGTGGAAGATTATGCATTTTCTGTTGACTAATTCAGGATGCTTTTTGTCGAGTGCAGCTTTCAGTTGGTCTAATTGGGAGCAGTATTTTTTGGAATTAACTGTTTGGTTTTCCAGAAGGAGCTCACGATAAAGGACTCCCTTCCAATCCCACCATATATACCACATCACCTTCTTTGGATGAAGACTATCTTTTGCTGTGGTTGGTGGTGGTTCATTTCACTTGCCTTACAGTCTCTTCCATTCCACATTATTGTACAGTATCCACTTTTCATTGCCTGTCACAATTTGTTTTAAAAACAGAATGTTTTTGCTACATTTAAGTAAAGAATCTTATGTGGAAATATGGTCAAGAAGGTTTCTTTCCACTTCACTTAAGTGGAACCCAAACATCAAAATGATTACGTAACCAAGCTAGTACAAATTATTTTTAATGCTTGATTTGGATATTTTGAGAATGTTAGCTATCTCCCATGTGGTATAACATTGATTTTCTCAATTAATGTCTCAATTTAATTACCATCAACTTTAACTTGTGTACCCAACCATGGAGAGTCATCCAGCAAGAAATCTCCAGCACAAAACTTCACAAAGCACTTTTATTTTATTTTATTTTATTTTTGCCAGAAAAATTGCTTTATTATTACACCGAGGACCTCCTTGGCGTCTGGGGTCAGTGATGCACTTTCAAGAAGGGCTCACGGAAGACATCAAACAGCCTTCGGGCCTCCTGGGGTCCCAGGCCTGGGCAAAAAGACAGATCTTCCCAGGATGCAGCTATGAGCTGTTTCAGAGACCCAAAAGTAGTCAGGAGGGTCTGACTGTCCGTTTTGTTGACTGATTGGACAGTGGTCAGACATTCAGTCACCCGGGAAACAAAGTCCTGCTCCAGCTTCTCCATCAGGAGATCGGCCAGCTTCTGCTCCTAGGCCTTGTAGGTCTCCAGGTACCGCCCGGCCTCCTCGGGGCTCCAGGCCAGGATCAGGCGGCAGCCGGCCAGGACGCACATCTTAGCCAGCTCCTTGAGGGCCTGCTGAGGATCTTTCACGTCCACCTGGACGAGCAGGACCCACAGGGCGTAGCTCTTCCCCAGGGTCTGCAGCCACTGGTGGATGTAGTCTGGGTGGAGGTTGCGGTGGCAGAGTCTGAGGAAGAGGGCACAGGTGCTCTGGCCTAGCACCTAGTCGGGGAGCACGTCCCCGAACTCCCAGGGCACATTGCGCACGAACCTCAGCACTGGGTTGCCCCTCTGCCGGGGGCTCACAATGATGCTGTTGGATTTTGCTCCTGGTTTGGTGGCCTCTCCTGCCAGGGGTTCTGGCCCCACAGGGTGTGTGGCTTCAGCCCTGCCTGGAGGTCCAGAGAGGGCGTACTCAGCGTAGGTCTGAGGGCCTGGCGGGGGTGAGGTCTCCATGGTGGGCAGGCTCCGTGTGGATCTGAATAAAGGCTTGGCCCCAGGAGGAGGGACCACATCCTCATCCGTAGGAATGAGGAATTTCTTCCTTATGGGTGGGCCAGCAGGCTTTTGCACTGCCTCTTCGTCCATTGCAAGCTCCTTCTGGGGCCTCCTCTCCAGGCCGTGAGGAAAAGACCCCACAAAGCACTTTTAATATGTTCTATCAGTCAAAGCATCTTCTCCATACACTGCACAAATCTTTTTTCATGTTTAAGTTGCATTTTCACCTTCCTTGAAGTAAAACATAATATGCTGAAAATGTGACTTTTTTCTTGCATCTTCAATATTAAAATAACTACACAAAAATTCACCAATTTTGATAAGTTTTTTAATGCAGGCTGATATGACAACTGTCACAATACAATCTAACAAAATTGTTCTGAATGAAAGTGAAAGTTGCTCAGTCATGTCTGACTCTTTGCGACCCCATGGCCTATACAGTCTATGGAATTCTCTAGGCAAGAATACTGGAGTGGGTAGACTTTCCCTTCTCCAGGGGATCTTCCCAACCTAGGGATCGAACCCAGGTCTCCAGCATTGCAGGCGGATTCTTTACCAGCTGAGCCACAAGGGAAGTCCAATGGTTAAAGACAACTCTACCTGCAATGCAAAAGACACTGTTCTCATCTCTGGGTCAGAAAGATCCCCTGGAGGAGGAACTGGCAAGCCATTCCAGTATTCTTGCCTGGGAAATCCCATGAACAGAGGAGGCTGGCAGGCTACAGTCCATGGGGTCGCAAAGAGTCGGACACAACTGAGCACACACACCTAAGTGCTACTAGGGCCATCTTATTAAAAAAAAGCAAACAAACTCTTTGGTCAACCCAATATATACATACATACACACACAGTGACTATTACTAAGCGTGACTGTAGTGTTATAGCCACCATGGGGGCCTAGGATGAATTGACAATCTCTCCTCTCTAGTTTGGCTCCAGGTAGACTTTCTGTGATGATCTCATCTGGTCATCCTTGCCATGACCCAACAGTGTCTCACCTGCTCACCCACTTCTTCAGCTTGTTGATCCATATTCCACACAGACCCACACAAAACCTCAAGAGAACAGTCATTTTCTTCTATCAGATCCCATTTCCTAACTGATAATAATTTCCCAAATCTCCTTTTTTTAATTTTAATATTTTATTTTTTTGCACTTTATTAGTTGATTGAGTAAAAGAAACCATACCCTTATGACTCCAAAGCCCAAGTCTCTTCCGCTTCACCATGTTGTACAATATGATTCCTATAGATGGCTTAAAAAGACCCATAAGATATATGCCATTTTAGACTGCTATCAAAAAGTCTACAAACAATAAACGCTGGAGAGGGTGCAGAGAAAAGGGAACGCTCTTACACTGTTGGTGGGAATGCAAACTAGTACAGCCACTGTGGAGAACAGTGTGGAGAACAGTGTGGAGATTCCTTAAAAAACTGGAAATAGAACTGCCATTCAGTTCAGTCCAGTTCAGTCACTCAGTTGTGTCCGACTCTTTGCGACCCCATGAATCGCAGCACGCCAGGCCTCCCTGTCCATCACCAACCCCCCGAGTTTACTCAAACTCATGTCCATTGAGTCGGTGACGCCATCCATCCATCTCATCCTCTGTCGTCCCTTTCTCCTCCTGCCCCCAATCCCTCCCAGCATCAGGGTCTTTTCCAATGAGTCAACTCTTTGCATGAGGTGGCCAAAGTATTGGAGTTTCAGCTTCAGCATCAGTACTTCCAATGAACACCCAGGACTGATTTCCCCTAGGATGGACTGGTTGGATTTCCTTGCAGTCCAAGGGACTCTCAGGAGTCTTCTCCAACACCACAGTTCAAAAGCATCAATTTTTCGGTGCTCAGCTTTCTTCACAGTCCAACTCTCCCATCCATACCCGACCACTGGAAAAACCATAGCCTTGACTAGACGGACCTTTGTTGGCAAAGTAATGTCTCTGCTTTTTAATATGGTATCTATGTTGGTCATAACTTTCCTTTCAAGAAGTAACCATCTTTTAATTTCATGGCTACAACCAACATCTCAGTGATTTACAATCCAACAATCCCACTGCTGGGCATACACACTGAGGAAACCAGAATCAAAAGAGACACGTGCGCCCCAGTGTTCAACACAACACTGTTTACAATAGCTAGGACATGGAAGCAACCTAGATGTCCATTGGCAGACAAATGGATAAGGAAGTTGTTGTACATATACACAATGGAGTATTGCTCAGCTATTAAAAAGAGTGCATTTGAATCAGTTCTAATGAGATGGATGAAACTGGAAACTATTATACAGAAAGAAAAACACCAATACAGTATATGAACACATATATATGGAATTCAGAAAAATGGTAACAATGACCCTATATGCAAGACAGCAAAAGAGACACAGATGTAAAGAGCAGAGTTTTGGACTCTGTGGGAGAAGGCGGGGGTGGGATGATTTAAGAGAATAGCATTGAAACATGTATATTACCATATGTGAAACAGATCACCAGGTTTGATGCATGAGACAAGTGCTCAGGGCCGGTGCACTGGGATGACCCTGAGGGGTGGGATGGGGAGGGAGGTGGGGGGGGTTCAGGATGGGGACACATGTACACCCCTGACTGATTCATGTCAATGTATGGCAAAAAACCACTACAATATTGTAAAGTAATTAGACTCCAATTAAAATAATTACTTTTTAAAAAAATAAAAAGCTATATGCCATTTTAGATAGATTTCCCTCTCAAAAGCTAAGCATTAAAAAGTCCCTCCTCTTGGATGTACAGAGTGGACATCAGTTATCTAGCAAATCCTCTTTTGCAAGTGTGCCCTCCCTGGTACAGGTACATGAGACTGTGTGTTGGGCTTAGTGGAGGCTGTGGGTGATAAAGACATAAAGACTCATCTCAGGGACTCCACCTTGCCCCTGAGCCCTGGAGGCACTCAGCTACCCTTTCCCCAACTCTGGAAACACCCCTGCCCCACTCTACAGAGTCCCTGGATCCCTGGAGCCAAGAGCCTTACTGAGGTGGTAGCATGGACTCTCTTTCAGGGGACCTGGTCTCACAAAGCGGCCAGATTTATATAAGTGCTTAGAACACAACTGGAGCTAAGCCCTCCTTGTCAGATGTAGGAACCAGAGGACGGTGCCTTTAGGAGTGGAAGGTGACTGCCTGTGTGGCCCTTGCTTTGACTTCTGTAGGAAGCGAGTTATGCAATGTCAGTTTCTTCATCTGTAAAACGGGAGCAATATTCACTTAATAGAGTATTTCAAAACTTGAAAATTATGATGACATGCATGAACTATTTGGGTTTCCATGGTGGCTCAGACTGTAGAGAATCTACCTACAATGCAGGAGACCCAGGTATTTGATCTCTGGGTCGGGAAGATCCTCTGGAGAAGGGAATGGCTACCCACTCCAGTATTCTTGCCTGGGAAATCCCATGGACAGAGCAGCCTGGCAGGCTACAGCTCAGGGGGGTGCAAATAGTCGGACATGACTGAGTGAATAACATTTCACTTCACTTTCATCAACTATTTACTCTGAAGTCAAACAAAGCAAGTGTTTAATAAATGGAAGAACAGGATTTGTTGTTGTTGTTGTTATTGGACCCCAGATTTTCCCAAGCCCCAAAAGGGTATAAGCACAAGGCAAGATGCTTTAAAAGCAATAGTTCTGATTTCATCAACTTACTGCTCCCTGTCAACAACTTAGATGCTTATTCTTATGGTTGTTGTCACTTATCTCTGGGGTATCCACTACTCTACATGGCTCTATGTGTGTGCTGGAATCCTCACAGAGTCACACTAGCTGTCTCTCTGCGTGTCACACTAAGCAAAGTTGTCCTAAAGGAATGCGGCTAATGCACCAATGTTTTACATTCTTTGTAAAATGGTTTCAATGTTTATCACAAAACAGATTTGAGTGGGTCTCTTAGAACTGAGTCAAGAGACATTTCTAAGGGATAAGACACCAGGCTGTGTTCACATATCCTGCCTCCTCCTCCCCTGGGTTGCATGCTGTCCTGGAAGGTCCCTCAGGAATGATGTGTAAAGGCACCCCGTGGCCAAATCTGTCCCTGAGCAAGGGACACATCCTAGGCTAAGTTGAGATCTATCATTTTTATTGTATTCAGCTTTGAGGTCCCCAAACAATCTCCCCAGCATCTTCCCTGTATTAGTTATTTATTGCCACATAATGAGTTATTCCAAAATTTGTAGCTTAAGACAACTGCAGTGTATTATGGAGTCAGGAATCCAGGAGAGGCTTGGCAAGGTGGTTCTAGCAAAGGGGTCTCTTAGGAGGTGGCACTCAAGGTGTCAGCCAGGGCTCCAGTCGTCTGAGGCTTGACTGGAGCATCCACCTTCAAGTTCACTCACAGCATTAATGGCAAGAGGCTTCAGTTTCTTGTCACAGGGACCTCTCCATAGCATCTCATGACAATTTCCCCCAGAGGGAATTATCAAGAAAGAGAGCGACAGAAGCTGCCATCTTTTATAATCTAGGAGGTGACATCCCAGTGCTTCTGCCAGGCTCTGCTGATCTCACAGACCTACACTGGTACCAGGTGGGAGGGAACTACACAAGGGTGTGATACCGGGAGGCGAGGCTCACCAGGGACGTCTTGGTGGCTACAACGCGCCCTCTGCCCTCGCCCACTCCAGCTTCTGCAATCTTGCCTGCGGTATGCCCAGCTTTCTTCATGGTCCAAGAGGGGACTTCGAGGGTCCCAAGGATGAGCTAATCGATGACAAGGTAGCACCAGGACCCAGGGATATGTGTGCAAAAGATAAGAACGAGGAAAAGAAAGAGGAGGATAGAGAAAGACAAAAGTAAATCAGAAAGCACCATCTTGGGGGAAAAAATAAACACGTCTTCCAACATGGTGGAAGAGTAAAATGGGCGAGTAGGTAGGGGGCCTGGATCCCCCATGAAGCAGAACTGAGAGAAATAAGTGGTTCACAGTAACCCAGTTTGTTTCCCCTCTTATGCTCCCTGTCCAGGACTGGGGGCTTTGCTCCACAGCTCTTCCTTGGGAACCCAGGCTGATAGATCAGCCATCATCTTGAGCATTGCCCAAACTACTGGCAGAAAGAGAGTTCCAGATGAT